AGGTCTCCTGCTTATCTTCTACTGCTTACCCCTGTTTGGGATGGCTCCACTCCAAGCCATAGTAAAAATTTTTCTGTCAGGCCAACACTTCCTTGTGCCCTATAACCTAAGGAGACATCCCTGTTGCTGTCGAGAGGCCTTGGATTTGCTGTGCACATGCAGTGGTCAATGCGTGTGGCCATTCAGCCTTGCCTTCGTGACGGTCTGGTGCTGGGAAGGGAGAAGATCTGCAGGGAAACAGACACGCTGGGATCAGGTGGGATGGATATGGTCTCCCGTACTGTTTCTTTTGGCATCCTTCATTGAGCTGTGGTGCTGATGCAGGGATTTGTACTGTGAATAAAGTACAAACGGAACCACATGGTCACTGTTTCTCCCCCTTTCGGCCTCTCTACAGAGCTCAGCAGCGTGCACAGATCTTGCAAGAAGTGTGTGAGCAGCCACATATTCCCCATGGGATCTCCATAACTACCAAAGCTGCTCCCCGCCCCCAGGCAGGAAAAAAGCAGGAGAACTGTGCCCCAGAGAGACTCATCAGAAGAAAAACTTCTCCTGACACCTCACCGCAGACCATACTGCAGCACAGAGTTGGCTGCACTGCCTTCAGCAGAGCTCGTGTAGGTGGTGTCTTCTGGACAGTTGTTTCAGAATCTCTCCTCCTTTGTTGTGCCTAACCCTGGGAATAGGCTCCAACTTCCCCTTCTCCCTCCTGGGATGCTCCGGATTCTGCAGCCACACAACTCACCAGGAAACAAAGGAATAAGGGCTCCAGAAAAAGAAAAAACTGCCAATCCATTCAGTATTTCCGTGGTGTTTACTGGTTACTGTCAGACTTTTCTCTTTGTATTGTACTTACCATGGCTCATACTACAGAAACTGAAGTGAAACACTTAAATAAATGAGTCCCCTTGAGAAGACTCCAGGCAATGGAGAGATGACTGCTCAGTGACCTGGGCAGTATCCTGGGTACACAGGGAGTTTCGCATAATGATAAGACTACAAAGGAATATTTATTTATCTAGATACCTATTCAGCTTTCATCTCTGGCAGCATTTCTCAACCAGCCATTTCAAAACGTTTTGCCAATGCTAATTAACCCTCACAGCACCTTTGTGGTAGGGATCAGTATCCCCACATCACAAATGGGGTGACTGCATGGAGAAGACAAGTAACCCCTTCACATCAAAAATGGGGTGACCAAGGATTGGAGAAGACAAGTAAACCCCTTCAAGAAAGAAATTAAGGGAGCACAGAAATACCCTGAAATCCCAATCCCATGTCCTAACAAAAACACCCCCACAAGCCCCTGAATCTGCAAACATCCTGTTGGGAATGGAAGCAGCAGCCTGCCATTCTGATCAAGCCACCTGCCTGTCTTTCTCAGCTTCACACAGAGGAAGCACTGCCTGGGCATTTAATAAGCCCCAAAAACATGGTACCCTGAAGTGACATTACACAACCCAGAAATCCCTGATGAGCTGCAGCACTGGTCAGCTGCACAGCCTATGCCACCAGGCAGATTTTTCCCGTGATGTTGCACATGCTGTTTACTCCATTCATTAACCAAGTTAATGTTGGCTAAGAATAGACCCCAGATGTCCTTCTGACCTTAAAAACTTCTTTGACGTCAAGGAAATGCAAAGCCTAAGTGGCTTATGGCATGTGTGGGACATGAACAATGAACCAAAGCTATGAAGAGCTTGCACGTTTCCAAGAATTCACAAAATAATTCTCTGCTTTTTAATAATCTCTGTTCCAGTTTGGGGAAATAAGTGTTTAGCAAGGACAGCACAGAACAGAGCAACGGATATATAAACGTATCATTCATTGATATAGAGATTATGCCAGACAGAGCCGTAGCTGCTCAGATGTGTTAGTTTTCTGTTATCTATTTCTGTGATGTTACCACTGCAGCAAAGTCGCAATGCTGTAATAAACTGATATTTCTGAACAAAGAACATTTGATGATATGCCTTTAGAAAAAAGTGTCTTAAGTACAGTTTATTCCTGATTTTTTTTTTTTTTTTGGTAATGGAAATTATTCTGTAGTCTCATTTTTTGTACATATTCTCCAATACATTTGGGAAATTTCCCCAAACATACTAAAGATAGCACCATAGTTTTCTGCATCACTGCTAAAAATCAAAGCATTCATGGGCAGAATAAAGAGAAATTTCTTTCTGTATAAGCATTTTCCTCCTATTGCCTGAATCCAGTCTCTTGATAATCAGCAATTATAGAAAAAAACTATAACAATCAATGGGAGTTTGCACTTACAGAAAATCATGCTATTTATTGCATGAGTTATTCAGATGGAGAAAGCTGTTTGGAAACCTATCAGTAAATGAAAGAAACTGCTATTTCAGAAAGCTGAAATTGTATTAATAGAGAGTCTAAAGAGTCTAGAGAAGAATACGATCCATTTGGAATTGATTTGTTCTTCTCAGAAATAGGAAAGAGTAAATATGGGGATTTAAGGATCTTTTCCTCCATTAAAATGTATTACTTTTTTTCAACTGATATTTTATCAAATCATCTTTAGTATTATATGATATTTTGGAAGGTGATATTTGGGTTTCCATAGCACTATTTACTTGGGGAACGACAGTTCATTCACTCATACCACAGTATCCAAATTGTGACTGTTCAGATTTAACAAACAAAAAAACCAAGGCAGGGGCTATGAAATGATAAAGAACAATCATTTCCATAAGCAGGGGCTCCAGCTCCCATTTCATCAACTCACCCCTTTGCTTGCAGAGGTGGGGTTAAATACCCGATTCCCAGGCCATGCTGACCGAAATAATGAATAAAGAACCCAGCAAGCTGGGGAGACCTCTGACACCACGGAAGATTTCTTCCTTTTCCATCTCAAAGCCTGGTTTGAACTTCAGCGAGCCACCTGCTCCAGGGACCCACCGATGTGCTCACATTGCAGCCAGGCAGGCGAATTGGCGAAGGAGGATGCACCTGGCTCAGCCCCACTCCATGGGGGTAGGGACGCTTGTCCATTGTCCATGCCACGGGGGACCCAGGCCTAACGCCAGCAGGGAGCGATGCTTGGCTCCCACGTGTGCGGGCGATGCTGCCCGGCAACGGGCGCGCAGGTTTCCATGGCAGAGCAAACAAGAGAGGGACGAAAGGCTGGAGCTGAGCAGAGCTGCACGGCCGCGGCCACATCCACCTCCCTGTCTGACCACATCACTCGCACAGAGAGGAGCCAGGAGGAGCTCTCCTTTGGGTGAGAAACTGAAAAACAAAGGGGTGAGGGCAATCACAGCAATTTCTTTTCTGTTTTCGACACCAGACACAGTGTCTCACTCAGACAAGTGGAGGTGCTGCCATGTGTCACCGGGAAATCACATGCACTAACCCTCTTCTCCGCAGGTGAGTGGGGCTACGTATTGGGAAATGGGACACATCTGTCCCTGGAAGAGTTACTCTGCAGCTCAAAATTTGGAGTGATTTCCCAGCAAGCGTCTTCTCTGCAAGCAACAGTATCATTTAAATCATTTGAGTGTATAAAACATACACTCATCCTGCACTCTGGGAACATGGTGGATGGATTTTATTGTATTATTTTTTTAGAACTGTTTGCATGTTTACTTTGGCATATTTTTTTCTGCGCAGCAGCTTGAAGCTAGGGAAAAGCACTGAATAAATGTTTCAGTAAATTAAAACCATGAATGCCTTATTTATTGATTCACATACTACTGGCCATTGGTATGTAGCTACCGAAACATAAAAATGTCAGAGGCAGTGAAATATATGCCAAATGATTCTAGCAACAAAGCATTTTTTTATTTGCATTATTGAGCTTAATAATTATAATCAGCACAACTAGCACTTCTGTAGCTTTTGGCATTATTTCCAAAGTGATGTGCAAACAATCTATTAATAAAACCAACAACCTCAAACAAAAACATACTGATAAATGTATATTTATAAGTTAATCTTAGAAACAGATTCCTATACTCAGCTAAAGTTATATTATAAAGCACTTTCTATCTCAGAGGGTTGCACTGACAATTATTTTCCATATGCCAATATCCTCTCTGTCTAGTCCTGCTTTTCAGTCTCATTCCCTGTAGCAGGAATTTAAATCAATCACATGAACAGGAAAATTTTTATGAGAAGGGTTTCAGATTACAGTAGTCAAGGTGTGCACTAAGAGGGCTGAACATCCAGGTGTTTGCTGCACCTGCTCCGCATATTTCACAAAGTGTATTCAACTGAACACTGCAGGTGTTTGGCTGCCTTCCTACCCCTGCCCTGATGGGCTTTTCTCCAGAACTCATCAGCAGCAGGGGTTGTGTTGTTCCAGGACGTAGATGAGGCAACCCTAGAGAAAAATATCCCATTAAGTTATGCAAAGTTCAGAGAGACATGAAATCTAAGCAACCAGTCAAGGAGGCTTTTGGAAAAGGTACTTCAAGAACAGAAAAGGAGAAAGAAAACATCTGGGATGTACTCAAACAGCCTAAATTTTCCCTCAGCCTCTGTGTCTCATCAACAGTGAAAGTCTGACACCTCCAAAGAATAAGATACTAACTGGCAGCTGGAGAAACACAGCCAATAGGAAACACAAAGCATGAAGGACGTACATGGAAATGAGGCCAGATGAGTTTAGCTCAAAATACATAAAAACTGGAGGCTGTTCAGAGCAAAAAATGATGCTCTAAAATAGCCTTAAAACTAGTGCGAGCGGAAGAGGATATTTTCTGCTATGTCTTATACGAGTGTAGATCAGGAATGGTCCCAGCATCAGAACTGCATCAATTGAACTACTACCTCACTGGACCCAGCTTGCTGCCTTTGTTGATTAAAGGATAACTTTTAACAACGGTCTATCTGTTCTTTGTAAGCGAGATCATTACAATAATGCCTTTTCCCCTAGGACCCATAGCAAAGACTACAAAAATAGACTGGACTCAGAGAAACAAAAAACTAACATTCAACAGTTTGCCAGCCTAAAATTAAACAAGACCGTTTCCTACAGCATGACTGTGCTGTTCAACAATCGTTCAGCCTTATCACAAGAAACCCACAGTGCTGAAGCAATTACTGGTAAGAGCTTTAGGGAGTAAAAATGCTGCTTGTGAAGCAGTGATAGAAGGATGAAAAAGTATGGGTGTGGATCAGAACTGGAGATGTGGGTGGAACAAGAGGTAGGGGACTTGAGTTGCTTGCTATCTCCAAATCGTTCCATCTTTGCTTTCCCGTCTGTGTGTATGTAAGGAGGACTGTATTTTACACAGATTTCACGTAAGCCAGGAATGAACATCTCCTTTTTGGGGTCAGAACACAAATATTTTCCAGTTTACTGAAGCTTTTTGTTAATTCCTACAGACAGAAAAGGCTCAGTGGTTAAAATCTGGAAAGCCGCAAGGCCCATCACTGCTGTAAAACCTTCTGTACCAGTTACTGGAAGGTCCCAACTGATTGTTTATGGTTTTCCTTGGGGCAGGGTCAAAGATGCCATCTCCACATACAAAGTCAACATCTAAAAGTCTCTCTTCCAAACCTGGAATGGAAACCCAGCTTGTACTGTCAGGTAAGGGCACGATGCTCCACCAGCTTTCTGTTGTTAGATCAAAGGAGAAGCCTGTATTCAGACTTTTCTTCCCACAATCAGATGAGATGGGTGAAATAGCTCCAGACCTACAAAAATCCCTTGCTGAAATCGTGAGCTGATCAACAGATATGGTCAAGTGACATAAGCAATGCAGAGGTCTCAGTTATATCACTGGCTTCTTATAAGCCCTATCCAGCCCACTGCTCTTGATTCAGCGTTGTTAGACATCTGCAGCTCTGAGCACAGCTGCCCACCCTTCAGGCATGATGCAGCACATCAGAGTCCCTTTGCAGTGAGTCCTGATATTCTGCCTCACGTCTTCTGCATCCTCATCCATTTTTTGCAGAAAGCCCAGAAGAGGATGAAGAAAACCCAATGAAAAATCCATTTACAATTCCTCCAGACATCGATATTTTCTCAATAAGGGACAAGGAAAGAAAAAAGGCTAAGGCGGTATGTATACATGCTTCAGGCCAATGTATATACAAGCAGTTCACTAGGTCAGGCAACCAACTAGTATAATACTGAAATTTAGTGCATCAGAAAAGTAATAGCTACCAAATCAGCTGAGATTCCCCCAGACCAGCTTCAAGTCCACTGAATTTTATGACAGGAGATTAACTTTACCAAGAGCAGATCTGAGCACAGACTTGTTGGTTGCTAGTGCAACACCTGGATACTGTCACTTTGTTAACTTCAAGGCAGATTTACCACTTCTTTCTGTTCCTGAAGAAAACACCTGTCAGCGCTGTTAGCACTGATTTCTACATAAAGCTTTGGTGCAAGATCTCTTGCCTTCCACTTCAACAGGTTTGGCTTTCTGTATTCCAATGTTTGATGTGGCCTCCTTCTGAACTGCCAATAAAACAAATGCCTAGGCAGAAGGACAACATGGGTTTCATGCCTTAGGTTTCTCTCTGTAAGACAGGGAATTACAATGCACCAGACCGGAGAGCTGGGTCTCAGGAATGTGTCTCTCTTATTCCTGCAGCAGACTTCCCCTACGGCATGCAATCCAAAGGGGGTGGGAAGTCACAAAGAGGTTGTCGCATCTCTGAGAGGTCTGATTGTTGCATGTGGTTGCAAAAGCCAGGTAGTAGTGTGGAAGCAAGAGGTCTTTGTTTCTAAATCACAAAAAGAGGGCTCCAAACAAGCTTAGGCAAGCCTCCTCACTTCACAATGATGACTGATACAGTCTGGTTTTCACTCGGATCACTATATAAGTATGGGGAAGGGCTTAGGAAGAAGTGCACTAAGGACATCTGCCGAGTGATAGCCTCAGCCTAACCCATGCTCCCACTGTGCAGACAGCAATGAATTACACTTCAGCCCGTGTGAAAGCACTGAGCATGAACAACCTTTTACCCTCCAGAGGGCTCTGGAGTGGGTTTGAATAGATCCTCTCTGTTGATGAACTTGAAGGTTTACATGCCTTTGTGAAAGCTGGACTGAGTTGGTATTGAGCGTGGGCTGTGCTGCTGTCCCCTTTTACTAGGAGACTTGAAGGATGAATTTCTGAAAATTTCCATTCTCTCCCAGGAATAATCCGGGAAGGAAAAATGAGGACACTGAGTAGGTACAAACTGGCACAGCTGGTAGCTGGATGCAGAATACAAATCAACAAACTAATGAGAATAAATGCTAAGAAATGAAGTGTTTCATTTGCCTCAAGAGAGAATATCATTGGGATTAGTCAGATAAACTAGGAAAACATGCATCAGCAGGGTATCAGCAGCCTGCAAATTTCTAGACTGTGAATAACCACTCTCGTCTTTAAAAACTACAGCAAACAAAGCACATAATCAAACTGTCCACATAACTGACTTCTCCTCACAGGAACGTGAAAGGATGAAGACCATGAAAATTCATGAGAAAATTACTTACTCCATTAAAATAAAAGCAAAGCAAAAAGGCTTCAGGAAAGCTCTGCAAAAGGAGGAAGAAGAGGAGGCCAGAAAACAGGCAACAAATGAAGAGAGACTGAAAACTCTTCAGGAGAGTCTTTCACGGAAGATAGCCATTAAAAAAGGTAATGAACAGTTACTAACTATGTAGTGGTGCTGCTCAGCTGGGTAAGAGACTAAAGCAATAATCAAAGGGAGGGTGGGAGTAACAGTTAGCTCTAGCTGCCTTTGGTGAGTATTTGCAGACACAATAGTTGTATGCTGCATCTTGCCAACCTCTGTGTGGCTGGGCCATCTCCCTCTCATGCATTTACATACAGAGCATGTGTCACCCCCACCACAGTAGCCTGGGTTCCACCATCCCCTGTGGCCATCACAGAAGCTGGGAGCTCTCGGAATCAGCTGAGAGTTTGCAGGACCTGTGTCATGGAGACATTTCTACTAAGCTGACCTAAAGTTGGATTTGAGTGGATGTGGGCCTGTATTTTCTGCCTTTGACATGAAGAGTAGCTTTGCCGTTAATGTCTAGAGGATGTTGCTTTTGTAAGGACCAGATTCTCCACTCCACTCTATCTGATTTTACTTCACTAAAGCCCTTATGAAACTGATCCTAAACAAGGTCAAAACTACAATAAAATAATCAGTATTGCTAGCTCCAAGGCCAACCACATCCATGCTCACAGCAGCCTACATAGTCACTGTGTTTTGCCTTGGCCATATTTCATGCTCCAGTCTGATCAATTTTATATCCTAATTTCAGATTACCCATTAGAAAAGGAGACCTTCCGTGACTACATAAATGACAGACGAGAGATATTTTTACTTGAGGTACTTGGCTTTAAGAATATTACCTTCTGTTAATTTAATTATTCTTCCCTGTGTTGCTTTGTTTTGGCGCCTATTTTTTTTCCCCCGAGATCCATTGCCTAGAGATCACAGCAAGGAAGCACAGATCAGACATCATTGTCCAAGTCCTGAGTTAAAGACACTCATAATCTATAGCCCAGCAATCCCCAACCAAGAAAGAAAGGAATATAGGTCATTTGCACCATCCAGTAGCAGCCATGCAACTATTTCATTTGTGAGACGCACAGATATATTGACCTTTTGGCTCCTATTGTCCTTCACATAAATTACAGCTGGGAGCCATTCTGAACTCCAAATAAGGGAGCCGTGCTGGAATATCCCCATTATTCACCTCTATTATTGTGCTATAACACACCTGTATCAATCTTTGTCAGCCAGGAGTCAATGCAGTGCTGGGACTTCTGGATTCTGTCTTTAATTTCACTGCTTATTTGCTATGTTACTTCTGAAGTATCTCCTGGCCTCTATGTACCAAGTTTGCACTAAGACACATACCTTGTTTGAAATCCTTACCCCCTCCACCACCAACTATAAGGCAATAAGGTAACCAAGAACAAAGCTCATCCAGCATATCTTTAAAAACAACCAACCATTGTGACTGTGCTCCCTTTCGGGTTCATTTCAGTATGCCATGGCAGTAATGCGAGATGAGATTCAAAGGATGGAGAACATAGCAAAGAACGAGGAAAGAAAACTGGAAAAGGCTGAATACTACCTGGAGAAGGATGCTGCCGAGTTTGATGAGTTCCTGAAGGAGAACGATAAAAACTCTGTTCAGGCCCTGAAAATGTAATGGAAGTTGAGGGAACCACCGTGTGCGCTGGACACAGGAGGTCTTTTGCTTGACCTCCCTACAGGGTTTTGGCTAGCAAATACTCTGCGTCTGAGTTTGCCCAGAGCTACAGTCCTGGTGGCACTTTCTCTCCACCCATTCAGTGAAAGAGAGGAAGGAGAAAAAGAGCTGGGGAATCCCCTCATTGCAAAAGCCCTTGATTTGGCTGCAGCAAGGAACCTGCTGTTGACCCCACCACTTTCATTCTTCTCACAACACCCTTACAAATGGGAAATGCTTCAGCCCAACCCTCACAGCATGAACAGCCCCCTAAGTGAAGCAAGTTGAGCACTTGGCCCATTACAGGTATCACAACGGCAGAGCAGCAACTGGTGCTCAGCAGCAGCCAAACTAGGGATGCCTTAACCAGGAAACGTCACTGGGACCCCATACTCTCCTTGCCAAGACAAGCACGGCCTTCAGGCAGGAGACAAGCCTGGGATACATATAAAAGAGAGATTTCTAGCACTGCCCGCACCTCTTTTTCTCCAATATGCACCTCAACTCCCCCCACCTCTTTTTCTCCATTTTGTATGTACCTCAATTCACTACCCATTTACTGCTAAATTGTTTCATGGCTGACGTTTATACTTTCTTCCCTAGTGCCAAAAAAGAAACCGCAGCAAAGACAAAGACAACAACGGAGATCCAGGCAATCACTTCCCAAATAGATGACCTCCAAAGGTAACAGTTGCATGCTATTCCTGCCTAGCCTGTAACAGCCTCTACAGTGCTATACCCTCACAGCCCTCGGAGAAAAAGGGAATTGGGGAAAAAGATTTCTAAAAATGTTCAATTTTAAGAGTCAAAATATTTCAGCTTTTGTTTTCCAGATGCTGGCTTTGTTTCTAAAACAACTCAACTAGTTTTTTAATGATATATTTTAAAAGTATAAATACTCCAAACCCAAAATTAAATTCCTAGTCTCAGATTAAAAACCGATCAAAACTAAATAATGCATTTTAACGGTGACCTGGGTAGGGACAAAAAAAATAATGTATAATTCGTATTATGAGTTGAGCTGGCAAGATTTCACCTTCATTTTCAAGTAAAAGTTCCCAGATCAGCAAGCCTAGTGCCACAGCAAGGGTCTGGCCACAGAGGTGTGACTAGACAGCTTCCACATGAGGAACCCCAGAGATCACGCAGGGCAGGTTCCCATTTATCTTTGCGTGTCCATGAAGATATGTGCCCTCTTGTCCCTTCTCTGGGTGAAGCTGAATATCAAGAGTTAGAAAGAACCTGCTCAAACAGGGGCTTTCCTCCCTGCTAACAAACTTTGTCCTCTTCTTTCAACCCAGTGATATATCCAGATTCAAGAATACTCTGCAGGAGTACAAGATGTACAGGGACTTCCTCTATCAACTATCTCCGAAAGAGTGGCAGGAGGAATGTGGAAAAAAACACAAAAAAGAAAAGGATTTGAAAACAACACCCAAAGCTAATGAAGAAAGTGCCTTGCCTCCCACCACCACTGAGCAGGGTGAGTGCCAGGGAAGAGCTGCCCACTCCTCACGGGGGCGGCCCCCTGCTCTAAGTGTACATCTCTTCTTGTCTCCAGGCCAGGGTCTGACAGCCAGGACAAACGCTGCCACTCCCTACAGTACCACCTACATAGATGTGCCAAGTTCCCTACTGTCCTCAGAAAGTTTGGATTTCAGGTCATTGCATGAGATCAGGCCACAGCTTAAAAACTTCCTGAAGCCTCTATCCACAAGAAAACTGTAAGTTCAAGACAATGCAAACAACAGATTGAAGAACTGTAGAGAGCACTCAACTGACTGGGAGTCAGTATAGGGGAAACCTACTCCTCACCTTTGCTGTGAGCATACTGAGATCTGGGTCTTATGGGAACAAGACAAAATATCAGTAGAAAGCCATCAGGTGTGCATGTCAGCACCCATGTACCTACTCCAACAGTGCTCCATCCTCAAATCCTCTGTTGACAGCCTTGCCCAAAGAATTGGGGCCTTGAGGTAACCCCAAGAGGAATCATGGGCCTTGGGCATCTGTCCTGGTGCAAAGCTGCTCTGTGGCTTATTTATGGCTGAGATGCTGGTTCCCACTGCTGGTCACAGTGGCTATGCAAACAGCTGCCTGTTGTTTTGCCATTCATTAAGGTCCACTGTAGGCCCACATTGCACTGACTGCCTACTTCCAGTGAGAGCCTTCAGACAGTATATGATGGGATGCAGGCAGAGTAACACTGCTGTAATGTAGGTGGGAGAGCCTGAGAAGGGGAGGGGCAGGTGGGAGTATGAGACAAGTATGACCAGCTCCAGCTTCTTGAGTCAAAGAAAGCAATTGCCTGGAAAAGCAAAGCGTGAGTGGCTGGTGAGTCACCTAAGGCCAAAAAACCTGGCTATCAATAGAGTTTGAAGTCAGTCATTGCTCGCAGGGCCATTTCCTCTGCCTCCACACAGAGCATTGCAGATGCCAGGTTCTCCTAAGCAGGGCTGCTGTCTGCCACCCCTCATGAAGCCACTGCAATTACTAGGCTGCTGCCACATGGCAGGAACAATGCGGACCCAAGTGGGGCTGGCACTAAGGTGATGCAAAAGGAGGTTTTTCACCCCTCCATGGCACAGGGTGACAGGTGCAAGTGGAAGTGATGAGCAGGCTCTGCTGCCAACATCAGTCAGGCACCTCTTGCCTTGCTCTTCCAGCTTTTGTGCTGGCTCATCCCTGGGGCTGAGCAGGGAAGAAAGAGGCTGCAGTGCTGGTTAATAGTAGTAAGCTGTGCAGAAGAAGAATCACTCAACAACCTTCTCCCAGGGCAAGTAAAAACTGCAGACTCCCATGGTGGTTACACCATGATGTTTACAAGCAGTACCCTACCCCACATGGAGCACAAGGCTTTCTCTACACTTGCTTTGCTGCTGCCTGAGTCTTTTTAACAGGGCTCTTAGCTCTGCCTTCTCATTTGCCCAAAAGCCAAAGCCTCCCATGGAGTTTAAAGGTGTTTGGATGAACACCTTCAGTTCAGACTCATGCTTCATGTCCTGACCCTGCTGGCCAGCAGACCCTGGAGAAGCTCAAAAGGCAGCTTGCTTGTGGACACACACAGCTCCCAGGCTGCATCTTTGCGTGACCTCTAGCTCCTATTGACCCCCAAATAGCCCACAGCCATGGGGGGTCAAATTGCCAAACGTGCAAATGTGCAAAGGACTGTTTGGGGGCAAAGAGCAACAGTGTTCATAATTCACTAACAAGGTCTCCTTTGAACTATCATGTCTCTAAGGGCCTTATACACACAAAATGCTTTTTCAGAAATTCATTGGAGGATGCAGAAAGTGAAACCAGCTCAGACGAAGATGAGGTCAGAAGTCTCGTGTTGAAATATTTACATTCTGTTTATCCTGTGTCATTTATTGATGTTACTAATTTCTCTCACCTCCTAACCATTCATTATGGTATTAAGGAGTTACTGTAGCCACTAATTATAAATGTACGTTTATACATTCATTAATGTTCATGTTTTAGCAACACGTATTATAGATATCTTAGCTTAACTTTCCTCCTCCACTTTCCAAAAACCTACCATCATCTCAAAGCTTGCCATCCCCCAACGAGATACAACATCATATCCCATTGTAATGGCAGATTTTGAAATTAGTGAAGTTATTGGCTTATGTCTGAAACTGAAGTTTTCCCACTCACAAATGTTTGTACCATTTTTTTAGTCCCCAAATGCAACTTGTTTTGAGAGTGAGCTGCTGAGGCAGCATAAAGCTATGCACATAGCAGGAAGGTGGGAGTCATTTGTACATGGACAGTCACAGACTGCTCTACATGGGAGAGCATTTGAACAGCCAGGGCTGGTGTAGACCAACCTCTATCTAGTTTAATGGAAAAGAAGCTAGAGAGGCACAAAAACTCATCGCATGTGTCTTTCACTACAGGAGCCTGAGTTGTATTTTACTGATCCCCAACAACTGCTGTCTATTTTCACGGAGAAGGAGGAAGAGATCTTGTCCTTCTTCCAGAGTTCCCAAGAGATCAAGGAAAGTTTGGACAAGGTCCAACACACTTTTATCACCACACATGAAAGCATGTAAGTGTGATCCCACAAGTGGCGGGAAGGGGTCCCTGTGCCCAACCTTTTCAACTTAAGTGACCCCCTCTTCCTCCCACTAGCACCTCACCATCAGGCTGCATGCTGCAGACCACACGACATGCTGTACATGCAGCACACAACAAAGGGTCTCTATTTCAGACCTTGGAGCCCAGCTGCAGCCCAACCAACTCGCCATCTTCTGAGCTCCTAGGAAAGTGTCCCATCTATGAAATTTAGGAGACAGGATTTGAGCCTGGGACTAGTTTCTTAGTCCTCAAGGCACAGGCTGGGGAACTGATGCATTTAACATGCTAGAGTGGACATAGGTCAGAATTATCATGTAATTCTCACAAAGAAACATCAAAGGAAGAAACAAGGCATGTCCTGGAGTGATCCAGACCAGCACCTACTCCAGTTCAATGCAAACTCTTCCTAATGGAAGCCATCAGGGAAACCAAGTGTAATTGCAATATAGTATTTCAATGGCAGCTGGACACACATATTCCCATTTAAAGTGCAGCTTATCCCCCTGTGAATGTTTTTAAAGGTAATCCACTTCCTCCGCTGACTTATTAAAGAATCTTGAACGTTTAGCTTTGCTACTTCTCCCTCCCCCACACCAGCAGAGTAACTGTTATTCCAGAAAAATCGGAAGTTCCCTCTGCTCTCAGAGCTGTGGGTGCAAGTTCCCCAGAAATGACACGAAGTGTTACCTCCATCTGCTGGCAGCAGGAGGGACGGTCCCAGGCTGGAAAACAGCAGAGGAGCTACGTGTTTGAGATGCCCTTTCAAAATACTTCCTTTCTCTTCTGGCCTAGGGAGAAGAAGTTAGCAGAGCTGAAAGAGCAAGTAGTTACCCTCAAATCCTCCATTGCCAAGGAAGAAGAGAAAGCAGCAGATCTGAAGCTCAAAGTTCGCCTCTTTTCCTCAGGAGAACACGAAGCTGATGACCAGGTACCTTCTGAAATGAAAGCAAGGGGGGTTAGCGCACACATAAACAGTTCCTCTCCACCAGCCATATCCATCCTGGGAAAAAAAGCAGACTGTGTTGCACGAGTCAGGGATCAGCACTGTTTCTCAGCAATGGAGCTATAGCAAGGGCAGGTTTGGGGCACTGCTGAGGCAGCAAACTGGGGCAAATGATTCCGCTCCATGCAGCTGCTATGAGGTGGGAGTAGGGCTCACAGAGGCAACCAGGCACCTGCAACCTGTCTCAGGCCACAGCAAAGCTAGGAAGATGAGACCAACAGAATGACTCAATACATCCATCTATCCCAGACACCGGGGCTAAGCAAACCAGGAAACAAGCAATTGAGTCTTCTTGAGGGAATTAAAGTGTACCAATTTCCTCTGCTTTTGGAGAGGTGTTGTGGTTTTACTGGGCAGAACTCAGCTGTGCCTTTCAGCCTATCTCCTCTCATCTCTAGAGCAAAATGCTCGCAAGCCTGAACAAGAAGGTGCTGGAAGTGTACTGCCACTGCACTGGAGAAAATGAGGCAAACCTGCACACAGTGCAGATGTTAACGGTGATAGAAAAACAGTTCAATGATTTACTGGACAACCTGGAGCAAATCCCACTAGCAAAGCTAGAACAGGCTATGAAAGCCAAAAAAAAGGAATGGAGGACAAGGTAAGATAAGACTCTCTTCTGGAAATGGGGTCTCTATTTTTAAATGTTAACAGCCAAAAGCAAAGCTACTGAAAGAGCCAAATTTGTCAGATCAACCCAGGAAACTGTAACAGCAATTTGAAAGCCCATGTGCCCAATCCATCCCATTTCACTTCTGTAAGGCTTTCACATTCATAGTACTTGCATCGCCCAATCAGCGAGTAGTGGCCAAAAAGCGCAGTATCAACTGCAGCAAGTGTTTCCCTCTTACCACCTTCACAGCAACAAACTCCAGCATCAGCTGTACCCAAACCCCCATGCTCCGACAGTCTGACACTGTTAGATATAAGACATAATGTAAGATGTAGCACTTAAATGTTGATGCTAAGTGTCAAAAGCATATTCGGTGTAGCTACACACCGCATTTAACCCGTCCTTTATTGGCTTCCTTCAAAAGGCTCAGAGAGGAAAAGCTGAGACAACAGAAAAAGCAGCAGGAGGAAAAATTGCAAAGGGCCCTGGAAAGATCTCAGGCACCTGTACAAAAAAAGGTAAGTGCAGTAATCCTTAGGAACACCCCACCTCAAGAGCCCACTTCAGAGAAGCCGGGGGTACTTAAACATCAAGCATTTCAGAGAAGGGTGTTCTAGGGGCCTCCATAGCTGGGTGGGGGTGGCACCCGTACTCGGGTGTAGCCCAATTTATAGGACTGATGTAATTTAAGCAACTGCTGAGAAGTTATACTGCAAGTTATCCCAGCTCAGTGTCCTTCCACCATCCTTCTCCTATACTTCTGTCCTGACCACACAGTCCCCTCCATTATTTGCCAATTTTCTCAGTAAGCTCATTTCAACTTGTTAACTTCACAGTATTTAAAAAAAAAAAAAAAAAGGCATAAGAATCAGCAAATGAGGAACAGGGCAGCAGAAAGGCACGCCCAACAATGGCGGCAAGGCCCTAGATCAGCTCAGCCGTCCCATCAAACCATACATTTTCTGGCATGTTCCATGTTACGCCAAACCGAGCTTTGGCCCCTCAGGAGGCACAGTGCGGAACTTCAGGCCACGGCTCCTGCTGCACATTTCAAAGGTCAACATGACAGCGAGGACATCTCAGTTCTCAGTCACACACCAAGCCAGCAACAGCACAGGCGATTGCTAACAGGCTCTGAGTCCCTGCTCCTTTACCCAAGATAAAATAAGAGGGCTCTGCAAGCTCCCTCAGGTATTTCTTCAGACTTCCAACTTCCCTGTCTCTTGAGAAAGTACAAATAGGGCTTCGATCAGAAAGCAGTTGCAGGTGCAACAGTACATTGCAGAAGCTGAACCACGAGCGTATGCACAGCCTTCACGTGTTTCACACTCATTTTTTAATAGAAAAGACACACTTAATAGACATACTAAATCCTGCCTAGAAAAGAGAGAGCAAGGGGCCGTGGACTCTCGCAGCAGGAGAGCCTGGCAGCATGGAGCAGCTTTAGCTGCGTGGTTCAGACATGCTGCTCCAACACAGCACTGATGTACGTGGTGCCTCTTCTTCCTCTGCAGAGTGGCAGGAGGCTGATGTTCCGTTCCAACCCACCTGCCAGGAAGGAAAAAAAAAAGCAGAGCCAAGAACAAGTGGATAAGAAGGAAGAACTCTACTACTTCACTTGACAGCTCAGCCTTAACCACAGCATGTAGCCTGACACTGCTCTAGAAGAAGTTTTTCATAAATCTACATTCCATTAGTCTTTGCTTAGTTGATGAACTTCACAGTCCTGGGAAATTCTCTTCTCCTACCCTAAGATCCCAGGGAAAGTTGCTGTGCAACCCCTTTTCCCCCCCTGTTGATCTTTTGCCTAGGAAAATAAATTAAAATTATCTCATTTTGGTTCTCAGGCTCCTGCTAGCAACAATGCTTTTCTCGTTCGGTTTTTGACACAGATAGTACTATCCCTACAAACCTAGATCTATCACAGTCCTGGGTAACAGTCTTTGTTAAGGCATGACTAAGCCAGGCATCTGCCAGGCATTTATTATAACCACAAATCTGTTGAAGGACTACAAAAAACAAAGGCTATGCTTTAATCCAAAGGATGGGTTTCATTATAGACTCCACCCCACTACTGTGGAGAAGACACAAGCGAAGGAAACACACAACCTCTGCAGAAATCAAGCTGCTAACAATTAGCTTTATGTCAGATGCATCCATACAAAGAACAACATCCAGTGACAAACTGACCATAAAAAAAAAAAGCTTTATTAACCCTTTTGCACCAGCAGTTCTTCAGATATCCATTGCCAGCAATGGAGTTCAAGCCAAGTGATCCAATTTTCGGCCCCAAGAGGTTAGCACTTTACATTCACTTACAGAGCTGAGTGAGGTACATTTTCAGAAGTAGAAAGATTTGGTTGCAAGTCCCATAAAAAGATGGAGTGTTCCTTGGCCATTTTAATAGATTAACAACTGGTATGGTCCTTGAGAACAGAGTAATGCAGGCATTGGGAGCTTGAGGTGTCTCAACTTCCAGGGAGAGCATGGTGACCACTACAGCAAGACCCTGTAGTCCCTTCAGCATGATTCCTCCTCAACCTTTCTACCTCTCCAGAGTGGACTCCATGCTGCAGTCACAGCCACCAGGCAGAAGATCTCATCTACCAATTAGTTTAGTTTGGAAACCCAACCTGAGAAGGTTAAAGAGATGCCCCGGACACAAGCTGTAACTCAGGATGAGAGGAACAGAGAGACCTCAATGCTCAGTTAAGCTAAAGATAGAAAAATAAAACTGGTTCAACCAGAGGATATAATACTGCCTACAAATCACCATCTGAAGTTGAATGTAACCTGTATGCTTTTTTTTCTCCCCAAGTCTTCAACCAAAAAAAGCATTTGTCTGGACACATACATCGTTCAAAAGGCACAGGAAGTAAAAGCATTTCTGAATGACCTCGTGTGACTTCAACATCAGTATAACTGTAAAATAAATAAATATGTGCAAGATTAGAAAGATCACAACGTTCTCCTGCCTGACGTATCTTATTTTGTAGAAAAAAAATACACATACGTGCATACACACACACCTCATTGAGAATAAAAAACAGTACATACACCCTTTTATCAAACTCCTATACATAATTTTATAGGCATTCAGTACATCACCATAAGAAACACTTAAATTACTACCTTAAAATGTAACCAAAGGGTGTTTTTTTTCCTATACAACCCTATACTTATTTAGGTGTCTGCAATCCAGATAAGTACAGTACATACAAGCTCTCCCCCCTGCCCCCAAGAGAAACTGCAGTTTTTCAGTGGGGCAAATCTTCCTAAGTAACAATTCTTTTCCCCTCATAAAATACTCTGACAACTGCATATTCTGTAAACCAGCTGGAAGCTCCACGTGCATGTGACACTCTGGGATATCAATAAAGAACAAGTGGTAACAGTGTTCAATTAAAAAAAAAAAAAAAAAAAAAACCACAACAACAACAAAAAAAAAACCAACAACCCCAAACACAACTGCCCCCCCACCCCCCAAAAAAAGGTAGTGGCCAGTTCACAGGTAACTTGGCAGCAGTTCATAGATGAGATAAAATCAAGGTGCTTAAATTTACGTGACGGTCAACATTCCTCCCAAAAAAGGGAACATAAAGATAAAACGAACCTCTCTCAGATGCTGTTGGACTCCTAGCTAATCACTTACAGTGAGTACAGTTCTATTGCAGTTTTCTTTTTCAAGTTTTGCTGGAAGAATTCAGCAAAGTATTTGGGACGAAGGAGCAAGGAAAGGGCGAAACTCAACATGAGCTACAAACTGATTCACAGCTAAGTTAACATTTAGAATCTAGATTTCTAAAACAAAGATTTTAGAGCATCTCATTTTCATGGTATAGGACATTAATTTTGTTACATGTGACACTTTATTCCAGTTTTCTGCCAAAATACAGGGGCCGAAACTTTTTTTTTTGTGTGTGGAAAACACTTGCAAATTTTAGCTCTTAATTCTTCAATGCCACTGGCTCCAGCAGGAGACCATCAGAAGGAAAGTTTTAACTGTCATAGGCAGGATTATAAATTTGTACTTGTTAGCTGTAGAACACTTGCTTTCCTGTGAAAACAGTAAATATTACCTCAGTTTGAAGTTTAATTAATACAGTACTTCTCCCTGAAACAATACTGTACAACAGTCTGCCTCAGTCTCTCCGACCACCAGGCAGACAGGGTATCTTACACAGGCACATCAAGTGGGATTTACAATTTTTAAGAAAATCTTTCAGCTGCAACTGTTCTTAGCAAATTGCAAAGAGTGCAACCATAATCCAGTATTCCTCGTTTTCGTATTTTCCTTGGAAAAAGACCCACACAGTTATCTCGCTCCATCAAGACACGATTGCCCAATTTGTTTTCAAGTAACTGTTCTTAATAACGGTCACTCCAGATCCTGTAAGTTTATTGTGCTTCCAGTGAACTGAGAGTTATCAGAACCTGCATCATCTTCAGTGGAGTTGTGTGGCTCCTGTTGAAGCAAACAGACAGCAGGAAGAGTTCAGTGCTTTCACCTCTAGATGCTTTTAATGCTTATCAGTAAGATTGCCTTGACGTTTATCAAACACCAGAGAAATGCTTTGAATGGTTTAGAGGAAACCCAAAGCTTTCCTCTACTTTGAGGACCCATTCAAACAGTGCCACTACAGTTTTTCTTTGAAACTCTCCAGATGAGCATTACTACTAGAGATAAACTGAAAATCACTGACTATTTGCTTTTCCTCTGTTAATGCTCCACCACAGCCCCTGTAGTCTTCTTGTATTTCTATATTTATCACAGCAAGGTGCTCCTCCCAAATACAAAAGCTTTACTTTCTATCCAGGAGAAGCACAGTTGGTAAGAGTAACTGCACTGCAGAGCTTATCAGAATCAAAGCCTCACATGGTCAAGTAGAAAATATTTACCTATTAATTATGTAGATGCTAATCATTCATTGCTGCTCGGTTCTCAGCTGCTCCTACTCATTAACACGCAGTTTATCAGAACAGCAAACAACAAAACATTTATGCAAGAAGCTACATGAAGCTTTCTGCGTTCAAACAACACTGACACTCAGCAGTTAACAAGGGCAAGCAGTGAAACCAAGGACTGGAGAAGCGAGCAGGCTTTTTAATCCAACTGCCATTCCCACACAGACAGCGCTCTGAAATCTAGGCTCAAGATTTTATTTCCTACTCCCCATCCTTCCTGTAGCCTGTTAGATACCAGTTCTGATCTTCTTGACCCACTTAATATCTGCAGGATAGGATCAGGAAAACAAGGATGGGGCACTTCAGTAATAAATAAGTAACATGTAGTTATTCATTACCCAATAACAGAGGAAGAAAAATAACCACCAGTGATGTGTCAAAGGCTGGGAACATACACACGATAAATCTTGCAGCGCAGCTCTCTGCCTACTACTTTTTCTAAGTGAAATTAAACTCCCAATGGAAAACAAGGTATTTTCATTAGGCAGAACACAGTAAACCGTTTTCACTTTCAAGCTAGGCAATAAAACCCAATGGCTCTGACATGCTGTACCTGAAGTATATGAACAGGTAAATCCACTGTAAGCTGAGAATGTGACGAGGAGGACTGAGAGCTCAGTTGAAAAGGCAAATCTCCCTCTCCCGGGGAATCATCCTGTGAATGCAGAAACACGATGCAATTGCAAGACCCTCAAGCATCTTGGCACAATATGGCAAATTTCACTCAGCCCCCCAAACTTAAAAAAAAACCTGATCAAGCTACTGCACTGTACTAGTAAGGCCTAGAGCCACAAAGAGATGGGGAAAGCTAACCACCACTGAGATCTGAACCTAGCTCAGTGTACCTGAACCTAGCTCAGTGTACAACCTATCATCCTATCGTAATCAACTGGCAAGACCTGAAAAGGAAGGAATGGTTCATCTTCCAACAAACATAACGCTCAGATACATGAGACAAGTTCCATCATGTTGTGTGAAGCCGATACTTAACGTGAAAGTTACAAACATTTATACCCATCAGAAAGCTAGATAGATTGAGAGCTCTGCTCATAGCTTCCTCCATACCAGACGCTGTTAGGAATAAAGCGGAAGAAAAAACCCTCTCTCTGGATACTATACAAATCTACACCTGGCCAAAAACATATTACCTGTCATGCTCCACTACCAGCCCATGTCAATTACTAGGTATTTTTAGGAAAAAAAAAAAAAATCTTATGCTTTATTCCAACAATCTAGAGAAATAAACAGTTTGGGTTGAAACTTCACTTTGCAGGAATCTTTTCATGTCAGTCTCATTTACCTTGTAAATAAGAGAAAGACTGAGTACTGTAAGAATTTCAGGGCGGGGGGGTGTCAACAAAGAAAAAGACTAGAAGAAAAAGTCATACTGCCATGCACCCCCTAAGTTAATGCATGCTCGTAATCCCCTCCTTCTGCAAGAAATGTTACCCCATACTCTGGAACAGGAACGTAGCATGTTTTGCTGCTCTCATAACTGCCTCTCCAAACTAGGAAATTCCTAAGCCGTTGAAGGATCACAACTCTCACACACGAAATGGAAGTTTGCTAAAACTCTTAGTTCCACCTCAGTGTTTCCTGCATCAAGTATATCCAGCCTAAAAAGTGGAACAGGATGTTTCCTACAGTTACAATGCCC